ACGCGACACGTCGGTTGCCTCGTACAAGGATGGCCTCTGATGCATTTCTTTCGCACCGCAGCATCAGCTGAAAGATAGTCATCTCTTTTCTTGTCTCTACGTGTCTGCTTACTGACTGGAATGCTTGTCAAAAGATGAGTTCTTACTACGACGTCGACGCCATCTTGACGGATGCGCAAAAGGTACCATGTACCTTTGAGCTTACCGTTCCTGGCCTCGGCTATCTCGAGGGCAACATGAGCGGCGATATGAAGCAGGGTTCTAAAGTCGAGCTTCCACTTTGGCTTGGCGAGATGCTTGCACTGAGGTAAATGAAGATTCTAATCATATGTACATTCCGTATTCACAATATCTACAGTCAAAGTCTAAATACATCCTCGCTTGTGACCATCGACCCTCCGTCCGCCTTATCTCCGCGCGTCTTGAACGCCCTCAAAGCTGACCCAAGGACCGTCGATTTGCGAGCTCTCGCCCCGCACTTCTACAATCTTGGCGCACGAATCTTGGAGCTCTTTGAGGAGGAAGAGATGATTGAGGTACTGAGCGATGTGAGTTCTGTGCTTGGTCGATGCAACGGTATATGCTAACCCGTGTAGACATTCAAGGCCAGGGCTGCCCTCATAGCTGATCAAGCTCATAATCCACGAGGTGCATTAGGGGAAGGCGCCGACTTCATGCGAGGCCTAGATGAGAACGAGCGGCAACGTAGGTGTTGGGTGATTCAGCCATGCAGGAGCTAACGACGATGCAGTATTTCGTGCGGCACACGATAGCGCAAAGGGCGTACGGACGTGGATGGCAGATCTGAAGAAGAAATGAGCACGGTAGCCGGATCGCAGAAGATGAGTGCCATATGGTCGGCCAGGAGAGGTAGAAGATCGACGCGCAGAAGCTTTGGAAGATGGACGAAGGCACAGCGTAGTAATCAATGACGAGCGCATGACAAGAAGCACGACGATACAAAAAGACGAGGTGAGGCGTAGTTGTGAAAGAAGCAGCTGTTCGAGCCTACCTTCTGAGTACAATACCATACCTGCAAGCACACAGCCAGCGAATGAGAACATGTACAGTGAGCGTTCCATGTCTACCGCAGTGACGCGCCCAGATTGCTGTTTTGCAGTAGTATAGCCAACTGCTCGGGCGGGTAGCCCAAGAATACAGGCCCGTTGAAAACCATCTGCGGTACCATTTTCGGGCTTTCCGTCTCTCTCGGTGGTTGTGATGGTTCAGGAGCTCGAGGCTGCGGTGGGGTTTCTGTCGGTGGAACATGTGTGGTTGGGGCCCGAGGTTGCGACTGCGGTGGCATAGTGTATTGTGGCACTTCAGGCTGCTGTGGCGTCTGTCCCATCATCGCGCGATGATCGAATGGGCATTTGCCAGTCTTTTGGGGCGTCTCGCCGATTGGACGGCCAGTGTCGAGGGGTAGTTGCGGCGACGCTGTTGGTACTGAGCCAACCGAGGACGAGCTGTGTGCATTGGTGTATTTGGCAGGTATCGAGATGCCCCAGGGCCGACTTGGAGATTCGCCAACTCTGACCTCTTTGAGCGGGCGGTCAAAGTGACCGCTTCTCGACTCATCCAGTGTGTTTTCTTCTGGTTCCTCCTCAGGCGGTGGGGTGCCATCATTGAGACTTGCCGAGACAGCTGAGGCCCAGTTTTGAACTTTGGTGTCCGCCTTTGCGTCGGTGCTGAAGTGGGCTTCTGCCTCGGGCTCTTCTTCGATGGCGTCGTCGGGATCCTCAGGGAGCCACTCCTGATGTTTCTGACCGAGGCCCTGGATCATATTAACCAGATTGCCATACTTGCGATCTAGCTGCTCTATGCTCTCTTGGTTACTCTGGAAGCGCTTGATGCAGACTTCATGGCTTCTCGGTAGCTCATGCTTGTGTTTCTCAAAGTATTGGGCCACCTCCTCTGGGTTGTGTTGGTCGAGGAAGCGTATGGGGCAGACGGCAGCGGAGCCAGACGCCGCGACTGAGGCAGTTGCGGAAGCAGCAGGATTGTTGCTGCATATTTCGGCTCGAATAGGATCGGTAAAGGAGGGTCGTTTCGATCTTCGGCCACGTGCGCTTAATCGGGACGTCGAGCTACGTGGGGTAGCGAGCGGGCTGCCTCTGCCGCTGCCAGATGCGAAGGGACAGGCGAGCTTACTAGGAGTTCCAGCAACAGTGAAGTCTTTCTCAATGGGTGATGTGGCTCTATTGGTCTGTATCTCAGGTAACGAGGCGGATTTGTCTGCGGACGGACCACTCCATATTTTTACACTGCTAGTATTTTCATGGGCGTGCAGCTTGACAGCAGCCTCCTCAGCCTTCTGGATGACCAGTGCTCGGCTCTTGCGCTCTACATCATCGCTATGTGCCAACTGCTCCACCAAATTCACATGTATCCGCGGTTGTTCGTCTCCCACGCGCTCAAGATCTTGCAGGAAGGTAAGGTGGTCTTGCGACAACGTGTTGGGCGAGAAGCGTTTCAAAAGGTCAAGATACTGGGTATTGTCAGCAGTGTACGTCAAAGGTATTGTGTGCTGAAATGTAGAATGGTGTCCGTATCAGGCTAAGCTGTGATTATTTTCGATCAGAGCTGCGAGTGCAGCTTCAGGTCTAGAGCTAAAGTTGTTCATCATAAGGGGAAGGAGTGTAAAAAGACATTGCGTACCTGTTGCTTAGCCCACGAGAGCTTGCTTTCGAGTTGTTTCTGTGAATCAAACAAAACCTGGTATTCTCCACTCAGAGCTGCAAAGCCTTCAACGAGCTGCTCGGCGAGCTCCGTCACGTTACTCTGAGGCTGTTCAGCCATGGCGATGTTAGTAGAGAGATGGGTGGAATGCTACAGCAGGGCGATGAGCGCAGTGTTGATGACGCGGCAAGTGAGGCTTGCGTCGGTGAAGAAGAAAGATGGTCGGAAGGTCGGCTGCCGGCAAAGAGATTCGAGAATCGGAAGCGACGGGTGCGCCACGCCTAACGCAGTCAGCCCAGCCACACCGCCGCAGGGCCCCAAAGTGACGCGACTCCCAGACCATCGCTGCGCCTTGAAGTCATACGTAGCGTCTAGCATTGGCATCAATCCTTTTACACCATGATACCCTGACTCCCGTAGCATAGTCTCATCCATCCGACTTCTCACCCATCCATAAACCACGACGTTGCATCCCCTCGACATTCCGAAACCCCTACGCCCTAAGCCAAGTACCTCAACAATATTCACTATGGGCTCCCTCCACGACTCACGCATACACAAGTGGTTTGCAACCTCGCCGCCCGTCGCATGGACAGTTAGACAGCTACGAGAGCTTCTTATCGGGTCACTGAAGCAGGGCCCCATCCCGCAACATGTTGCATTCGTGATGGACGGCAACCGCCGGTTTGCGCGCAACCACCACATTGAGACTGTAGAAGGGCACAACCTAGGATTCGAATCGTTAGCGAGGGTATGGGAGACTGTTATCAGTGTTTTTGAGCCATGCTAACCAGCTCAGATCCTCGAAGTCTGCTACAAGACTGGCGTCAAGGTCGTCACCATCTACGCATTCAGCATAGAGAACTTCAAGCGCTCCAAGCATGAAGTCGATGCCCTCATGTCCATGGCCAAGGTGAAGCTGCAACAAATGGCAGAGCACGGAGCCTTGCTGGACCGTTACGGCGCATCCATCCGGGTGCTGGGAGAGCGCGAGCTCCTCAGTCCCGATGTACAAATGGCTGTGGACAAGGCTGTTGCAATGACAGCACACAACAAGAAGTACGTTGCCCGCCGCTTATTGCGTGACATCGCTGACCACCCGCAGGGCTGTCCTCAACGTCTGCTTCCCCTACACTTCGCGACACGAAATCACAACCGCAGTGATGAAGACTGTCGAGACGTACGGCACGCCGATACACAACCTGCCCACCCCTTCGAAGCGAACCTTTTCCGAGTCCCACATCACCCAGCATATTCGCAAGCAAATGTTGGAGGAGGATACAGAGGGCCTTGCCGAGCAGGCTGATTCGCGGCCAGCGTCACCCTCGAAAGAGACGGCTCTGGCTGAAGACGGGCGTTCCTCGTCAACTTCGACCGCCATCAACTCGCCTGAGAAGGATGACTCAAATAACGGGCCGACGTTTCTGGACCCAGAGTCCATCAGCGCTCAGACGTTGAACGATAACATGATGACGGCTGATGCCCCGCCTCTTGATCTGCTAGTTCGCACCTCTGGCGTCGAGCGGCTGAGCGATTTTATGCTATGGCAAGCCCACGAGAACACGTCCATCGTATTCCTCAAGTGTCTGTGGCCCGAGTTTGATCTGTGGCAGTTTTTGCCTGTGCTGGTAGAGTGGCAGTGGCAGCAGAAGAAGCTGCAAGAGGAACAACAACGGACCCGTGGGCGGTCCAAGTCAGACTGAGGGCGTTGGCTGTAGTATATGGCGCAAAGTCCTCGCGGACCATAGAAGCAGGCAGATCTGAACTTGAGCGAGCATCGAAGATACCCAGAACAGAGCATTCCATTCGTCTAGCCGTAGGCTTTCCACAGCAAACCATATCTTGTAATACATGTCGATCTTGCGCTATCGTGGCACGTGTATATATGCGCAGCTAATCGCTCGCCCATACCCTGACCGTTCGTGGTTTGCGACCGCGCATGCGACACTTCGGGCGCGCACTAGCCCATTGCCTAGTGCGCCGAACAGCTTCAAACGTCATCTCACCCTCGGAAGAACGACCGCTGTCAGGGAGCTCCAGCCGGGATGTGAGCTGAACATGACTTATAATCCGCGCGTTCCGCAGGATTGGGCTGGACTGACAGCTGCCGTCAGATCGTTCCCATGTAACCTGATCTTGCTTATCGGCCAGTTGCACCGCTTACGCAGCACGACCACTTGTTTGGGTCCGGCAACCAACTTCTGGGATAGACTACTCCTTATCAATAGCAGCTTCTTTAGTATCGCTTGGTTCCCTTAAAAGCAGGGAATCGCACGTTTCTGCCCTTGAAACCATCGCGGCGCGACAGCAGTATCGACACCATGAGCACCCCAAACCTTCTGACGATACCTGTTGAGTTGCGCGAACTCATCTATGGCTTCCTCTTCAGCAGCTACACTATTCAACATGGCTTCAAGCACGCTAGCACACCTAGCGACGACTCTGAGTCTTCTAATCGCATAGCGCTCCTGCTCAGTTGTCGCCAGATCTTCGCCGAGGCGCACCGCCATCTCCCGCTCAATTGCACACTCCACTTCCGCGGTACAGAGAACCTACTCGAGACTCTACTCTCCGTGGACCAGAGTGTGCTAACGCGTCTGCGCCATGCCCGAGTGCGCGCTTATCCTTTCCCCTTGTACTCCTCCGGAAGCTCACAGTACTACCCGACCTACTATGCAGCGTATGCGCTCACACTACTTCCCGGCCTCTGTCTAGATACTTTGGTCGTCGAAGATTGCTGGCACGGCTTCGGCATGGGCGACGGTTGGCGAGATGTCACCACCTACTTCGATATCGAGACACTCCTGAACAGCGATGCTTGGAAGGAACTGACCTACATCACCCCGTGTACCGATTTTATCGCGTCCGGCTACGATCATCGGCGTAAACGATCGGCACAACCTGAGAACTGGGATGCGCTCATCAAGGAACGGGATGGAGAGGAGTTCGGCGCAGAGGTCAAGATGTACATCGTTCCGTATGCGCAGCAGACGGCGACTGGTGATGAGAAGACTGAGGACGGGCGCATCATGCAGCCCTGGGCAGCGAAGCCAGGGCACGAAGTTAACGAGAATTGGAGAGTCGCAGGGCCGGACCAGGATATGAAAGGTGAAGTAAGGATCATAGCAAAAAGAGGCACGAGGTCAAGAGCCGTACAGCTGGGACTCGCCGGGAAGAAGACCTGGAAGGAATTGAAGGGCAAAGAGCCAGGCGGCTTCGCCCCCGAAGGTAAGTCTCATTCCAACTCCTGCAAGTCCTCAGCTCACACTACGCAGGATGGGTACCGTACCATAACGACATGGCCGACGCAGTTGCGTGGATATATGGGGGCCACGGCAGAAGGATACAATTGGCCAACGCTGCTCTGAATAGTTGACTACATGGCTTCACAACACAGCCGGTTTACGCGCCCTGGATGTCGACCCAAACGTAAGGGTGGCTGGCGGCCGGATCCATGACCATGCAAGCCCTTGTCGGCATTTAGGCTGTATGCACCCGACACTAGGGTACGGCAAGTATAATTTCCTAGACACGTTCCTACACGCCTCTAGCACGCGGCGTAGCGCGTAAATAGCACAAGGTGGCTGAGATGTCTTACACAACGCGCTGTGATGACGAGGCAGAGTGGTGCGCGACAGGACAGATGCTTCGGCGAGCAACAGAATGCAGTGTGTATTGGAAGGGTACAGCTGCATTATTGTGAGTGATTGTGCACGACTATTGTGATACCGAACTGGATTTCCCTTTCCCTGCCGTCTACATCATCGCGTAGTATTGTAGTACAAACGCTCGCTAGTCCTCGTGGCGTGTACACCCGCGCAACGCTCTCTTCGCCGCTGCTCTGCAGTGAGCGAGGGACTGCCCGTTTCGCGCATCCCTTCGCTTGTCCGAAGTGAAGGAAGGCGCCTTACAAATACCACTAGGCACTACACGCGGTTGCCTCTGAACGACCGTCGTCTTTTCACTTCCTCAACACGGGACCAAAGACGTGGCACTGCGCATCGCTTGATTGTAACAATTCGGCCGCCTGCTCTACCTTGTCAGGCTTCTTATCCTCATTCTCATGCGCGATAGCTTTCCGCTACACCGGTTCCCGCCAACATGGTAGGCACACTGCTCTGCGCAAGCCAACCAATCACTGACGGTCACTAGATCCAACTACTCGCCATCGTTCTCATGTCTGCTCTCCACGCTGGATCGTCAATCGCCCAGCAGTATCCACTACCTGTAACCTATGACACCGTTATCAAGTCGCCTGCAGACCCGCGCATCACCATATCCTATAAATCACCCGACGCCCACGTATGCGCAACAGCGTTTGAGACGCAGAAGCAGTATACTGGATATGTCAACATTCCCCCGTTCACGCTGTCGCCGGCCGAGCAAAACTACCCAATCAACACCTTCTTCTGGTTCTTCGAAGCACGTGAGAATCCAGAAACCGCTCCGTTGACCATCTGGCTCAGTGGAGGACCTGGAAGTTCGAGCATGATTGGTCTCTTCTCCGAACTGGGACCATGCGAGCTGGTAGAAGGGCCAAACGGCAGCTACGTCTCTCAGCCTAGGGTTTGGGGATGGGACCGCAGCTCCAACATACTCTTCATCGATCAACCTACACAAGTCGGCTTCTCGTACGATGAGCCCGTCAATGTTTCGGTCGACTTCAGCAAAGGCTATTGGGCGGATCTAGACCAGCGCATGGAACCTTCTCCCCTTCCCGCCGACATCCCGGAATGGCGCTTCAAGAACGGCACTTTCCCCTCTGCCAGCTCTAGGAAAACCGAGAACTTGACCGTCATTGCCGCGGATTCCTCATGGCACTTCCTTCAAGGCTTCCTGTCAGCCTTTCCCCAGTACAATCCTGGTGTTCGATCCGACAGCGACAACGTCAACCCCTCTGAGATAAACCTGTTCGCTGAGAGCTATGGGGGTATCTATGGTCCTGTCTTCGCAGATCATTACGAAGAGCAGAATGATCGTCGAAAGAAAGGCGATCTTCCGGCTGAAACGTTGGAGATACGCGTTGGTTCAGTGGGTATTATCAACGGTATAATGGATGTCAGAACTTCAACAACCTCGGGCTTGCTCTTCGCATACAACAATACCTACGGCATCGAAGGCTATGATCTCACAACTTATCAAAACACGATATCAGAGGTCTACGCAGAAGGGGGTTGTGTAGATTTGGTTGACCAGTGCGCTTCTGCGGCTGCTGCCAATGATCCCCAAGGTCTGGGTACCGTCCAGGAAGTGAACGACATCTGCATAAGTGCGCTCTTAACATGCCAAACAAACGTTGGCCCCGCCTATCTTCCAGGTAGAAGTATCTACGACATCCGAGCTCTCCCAACAGTTGGCCCTAGTGACGCGCTTGAGACGTACCTTAACGAAGAACACATTATGCAATCCGTGGGTGCTCCAGTCAACTTCACTTCTACGAATGACATGGTTTTGGATGCTTTCAGCTACAGTATGAGATCGTGCACTATCCTCGAATCTATACGTATCTATCTTGCTAACCATATATCCAGACGGAGACTCTGCCCGCGGAGGCGCATTGGAGGCCGTGGCAGACCTGCTCTCCCGCGGCATCAAAGTCGGCCTCATCTACGGTGACGCGGACATCATATGCAACTGGTATGGAGGACAGAACAACTCTCTCGAGATCGCCAGTCGTGTGCCAGGCTACGAGACGGCTTTCAAAGAAGCTGGATATGCGGACATTCAGGTGAACGACTCTTACGTTGGCGGCGCTGTTCGTCAATATGGCAACCTATCCTTTTCCCGCATCTACGACTCCGGCCACTACGTCCCGAAATTTCAGCCAGAGACCGCCTTTACCGTCTTCAGTCGCATCATTCATGGCGACGATATCAGCACCGGTCGCGACGTGGACCTGTCCAGCTTCAGTACAGAAGGCCCTAGCACCTCTGAGCACAGAAATGACCCAGGAGAGAGCCCTCCATCCATCTGCTGGGTTCGTCAAGCTGTCCTTGCCTGCACGGAGGAGGAAAACGCAGCTATCATCGCGGGCAATGGTACTGTGAAGGCAGGCATCTGGTATCCATCCGAGGGGGACGTGCCGACTAGCGCGGGTGAATCCGAACCGCAGCCCACTGCGACGAACTCGGTGCCTATGACTGGAGTGTACACCGCTACCGGCGACCAGAAGGTTAAGCAGACCTCTGGAGCATCGGCACTCCGATTCAATCTCCGGTTTAGCCGTTCGCGCCGTCAAATCCCAGGCGATCTATTGTCTGAAACGGAAGATTCGCGCGACAAGGACAGTAGCATCAGAAACGGTCTCATTGGTGGTCTCGCTGCAGCGGTAGCTCTGTTGCTGTGAGTGCATAGCACTCTTCCCATATCTGTCATATAGACCGCCTTGCACACTCATTCGCGCAATTTCTCTTCACAAACATCACCCTATAGCTACGGCCGCGCTTTCTCTTCTTAAACCTACCTTTTACTGAATGAATATATACAGAGGTTTACTTTCAATGCTGTGCTGCTGCCGTTGCTTCAGACGACGTAAAGTCTACGATGGGCCTTTTCCGGATGATGCTGAGAAGGGTCCGATCGTCGTTGAGCAAGTGATTGATGATGATCCAACGCCGACGCCGACGTCAACCATTCTCGGCCGGCAAATAACGCACATGGAGTCTATACCTGAAGTAAGCCCTAGACCAAGCGAAGATCTCAGAGACATAGCAGCGGCTGTGTCAACCAAGCCAGCACCAATGCCAACCGCAGAAGAGGAAACTCCTACCGCGCCCGTGCAGCGATCACTCTCCCCGTCGCAAGATGCAAGCCTATCACCGCGCGTCCCAACTATCCCACCTACAGGAGCCTCGCTTCTCCCTCCCAACACAAGCATTGTGGCGCGTCCCCAACTCTCGTCCTCGGTGTCCGTGCCGCCAACGAGCCCGCCGCCCTTACAATCCTCCACCCCAACACCGCCAATCAGTCCACCCACGACCCCACCACCACATGCGACACCACCTGTACCTGAGCCAACACCGTCAACGGCCCTGACTCCTGGGTCAACGGCCATCCCTTCGTCTCGCTCACCCCTGCGCACTCCTCCGAGTAATGGCCCGGCACCACCTGACCTGTCGCCAAAGATAGAAGGAGAGCACGGCCAAGAATCGCCACAGCCGTCGCTATTTTCGCGGATTAAAACGCTGTTGCTGCCTAAGTCTGCGTCAGAGGATATGGAAGGGCGCGCAATGACTGATGGTACGATTGATCGGCGGGTGTTGAACCCGCGGGTTGCTGTGAGACCGGTGCAGAAGCGCGTGACCAAGGCTGCGGTGCCGAGTTGGTCGACTGAGGTGTGGTTTTGACGGGGGTGGGGGTTGGGAAGTGCTTTGGTATGGGTTGTTGGAGTTGCGGTGGTGAGGGAGTTGCGGGTTGGGATTGGCTGGTAATTGGTATGCGAGTGATGGACGGGTAATGATAATGCTGGAGGACGACGCGTGATGTTGTGACTGTAAGGGTGAGGGATGGGTAGAAGGAGTTGGTAGTGAGTTAAAATACATTCTCAATCCGCGTAGGAACTTCATGCATGTCGCGTCTAGTGAAGTTGTGTGTTGTTAATCCGTACATGTGAGTTTTCGTTTTGAAGACGCATATGATTGTCATTAAAACTACGTATTCGAAGCACTACGCTTCCAGAGTGATCTTCAATAGATAGTGACGTTACATGATGGTGAAAGATAACGCCGCTTACTATACCGTGTGTGAACAAGGTAGGCGTTGTGGACATTGTCGATAACTCATTAGTCGGCGTCCTCCTGCACGTACCAGAAACTAAGATAGCAATCACCTGTTCCATTCGATCGGATGACGGTCTGTCTCGCTTTTCATGGGTTCGAAAAGTTCCTTCGGAAGCCATTCACCTTCCCTGGTTCCTCTGAATTTCTCGGCGAACATGTATGGCTGACGAGTGATGTGAGCTTCCATACCCAATTGCCTATCCATGGCTGATGACTCTCGCGAGGCCATCCATACTCGCGGAAGACTTTCTGGAGAACAGTCATCGGCCATATCTGTGTTATCTAGACAGATTCGGAATCTCGGTGTTCCGGGAATCTTCCAGAGGTCGTCTATCCAGTGCGCGTCTTTGATTTGGTCACGGAGATGCTCCGCATGGCGCATCCAAGTCGATAACAAGGCAGGAGCCAGTTCGTGCAGTGCTCTCACAAGATCAATCACACGAATGCCATCTTCTCTGCGGAGTCTTCTCAGCAGCGCATGTGTTCCGAAGATCTTAAATCTACCATCGCCGAAGTGGTAGATACCCAGACTCTTACACGGGGGGTAGACGATCTGCATTGATCCAACAGCCTGGAGAAGAAGATGGTTCGAAGTCGAGTTATTGACCAACAAGGAGTTCAATGTAGCCTCCTCGCGTAGACTGATTTCCCATCGACCCAGGTGATGCTCGAAGCGACCTTCTTCGGAGAACAACAACTTGAAGTACGGGTTGATTCGAAACTGGCTGAGATCGAGCCAGTAAAGATCTGCGTCGCGGGAGACTGAATGTATGCGCGTGTGGGGTTCGCCGCGTTGATCAACATCCAGCTCGTTCAAACGCTGTGCAAGTGCCTCCGGTAGGTCAGGTGACTGTGTGAAGTACGCTGGAAAATAAAAGTACCTGGGGATTCGCGGATCGCAAGGCGTATCGCGAATGTGCGCCATACGTAGGCCAAATTGCGCAACTTCGTCAGTGCTGGGTTGAAGCGGTGTCTCGCTTTCCCAATTAATGACTTGTCCATATTCTACTGGCGCACAAAGTGGGAGGATGCGAAATGCATCAACGTTTGTGCGACTACATATGACAGACATCGCGGAGGTGCGCCAAGCTGTCGAAATGTGTAAAGCTCGACTCTGGGCTTCGGGCCCGGCGGATCGGAGTATCATATCCAAGAGTTCAGAAATCTGAAACACGGTGTGCTCAGTACGTTTGCAGGCTCTTCGGTCGCTTGCTTCGAGCCGTTGGCATGGTCGTCGATTATGTGTTTTGGGACTCGTATCCGGTTTGCGAGTCTGATAAAGGGCTATGCGTGCCCTTACCAGGTGGCCGACTTGCTGTCTCCATTACTCAACGACTAGTTTCTCCGATCGTGAATAAGGTGGTGATGCCTTTGTAGGCTCGTTCTCAAGATCCCACCCTTCGTTCCAAACCTTCCATGCTCCAGGTTGTCTTGTGTTGTTGCCTGGCTGGTAGATTGAGAACAAGAAATCTTCCCTTGCGTCCAAAGTTGGTATGTACTCTTCGCTAGACACTATCCAGGATATTGCGGAACCCATGGTAATCAGAGATCGTTCTTGTTGCAAATATTAGTAAGGGTAGAAAAAAAGAAGCAGACGCGAATGAGTTTAAAAAGCGTTGCTGTGTACAGCTGTTCTTTCAACGTTCCACGGTTCGCTATTGCTCGCCCTGACAGACCTCAAGTGCACATGTGCTCGGGAACTGAAGCCTGGGCGCTGTAGGGATTCGGCTTAGCGCAAAGGCAACTTGGGTGCCCTCCATCTTTGCGACGCAGTGGATAGCCGGACGGACAGCGGAATGATTAATGCACTGGATGTAGTGCGGGGTCGAGGGATCAGTATGTAGGCGCTGGCAAGGAGCTCTGGTCGAGATGTGACATGGGTTTCCGAAGACGATGGCATCTGGGCGCGATTAACACGTCGAATGCTTCGTAGGATGCGCGTCGATGATAGGAGGATTCACCTCCTTGCCGGTAGATCTAAACTCTTATGGCGTTGGCCTTGAGATTACCTAAAGGATAGGAAAGCAAATGCGGCGATGATGCTCAAGCCGCACGTAACGCGAGCGCGCGAGCGGCGTGTTGGTGATGGACGCCCAGCGCGTAAGACCCTGCGGGTTGAACACCGTGAGCTCGGGTGCGGCGACAGTAGCGCTGGTGCGCCGGTACCACGAACTCCTGCTTTTGCTGTGATCGCACGGGCATGGATCTTCCACGTCACGATCACGTTTCGTCGATAACGCATCCCAGCTCTCGCATTAGCCTCGATCATAGCAGCTCAAATGTGCTCAGCTCGCACATTCTCGCGCACTACTTAGAATTATGGAGCGGTTCGTCGACGATGCGTACCTAGGTAGCGAGCAACTAGCCGCCACTGGGCATCTCACAACCTACCTCACAACCATGGAAACAGATGTGGATTCTCGAGCGAGACCTCTCGTGACGGTAAGCAGGCTAGTGATATAATCTGATGCTACTATATGAGAAGGCAGACATACCACAAGATCCTTAAAAACTCTTTTTGAAAATAACATCAACGTCCCAAAACTATCTGCCTCGACACAATGCAGGTGGCTGCATTTGCGGCAATGAGCATCATCACGACAGGGGCGGCCATCACCTCGTCAGGCAGGGTCACACCCATAACGCGGACCCACGGCAATCTTATCGTATCGCGCGATGAAAGATACTTCTGCTTGGAGGAAAATAACTCGTGTCTGCAAGCGATTATAGGGCGGTGGCACAATCTCAAGACACAAAGGAAATACCTTCGTATCGAGAACCGCAATCATCGAGAGTCTGCACTATACCGTCTACCTAATGAGCTTCTCGAGCAAATCGCCATGTACCTCCCTCCCGCCGACCTCCTAACGCTCGTTCGTACTTGCAGGCATACCGCAATTTTGCAACGCCGACGTTATTTCGATCAACCCGCTCTACTGGTATACTGGCGACGCATGAGGCGCGATGTCTTCGCCTCTCGACTGATGCTCGAGAACAAAAGCTGGGATCTGCCTGGGATGCTGTGGTGCGACCGTTGCAGCGTGTTCCACCCAAGGACTTTTTTCGCGAAGACTTTGAGAGATGCGCCAGACGATGGGAGGGAGTGCCAGTTCGCATCAACGGTTTGGCTTTCCTGGTATTTCCAGCGTCGAATTGGTGTGCCGGAGAGGGTGTGAGATTAGCCTAAGACTTGCAGCAGCTATCGATCAAATCAGAGATGCTGCAGCTACCAACGGACTGAGGCTATGTTGATGCTAGGCTTGGGGAAGGTCAAGAGTGGCAAAGTGAAATCACGCATACCGCTAAGAGGATAGCAGATCTTCCAGGTTTGATTTCGAATGATTGTTCATTTTAGGAGAGAAAAGGGATAATCCCCTGGTCATTGATTAAAACGGTAACTTTGAAGATCTATGTTGTAACTAAGTTGGAACAAGGAGGCTTTCCCATATGTTCACCTCGCGTGTGAAGATGAAGCTTATGAGCTGAATACGAGAACGAAATAAAGGAAGGTAGACAGCGTGCCAGTGATGTCTCGAAGAACCATACTAACTCTCATAACTCTCACGCATCCCAGTTGATATTTAAACGCCCACACTCGGTCTTCATAGGCTCAAACAGTTCCTTAGGTAGCCACTCGCCCTCTTTCGACGCTCTAGATAGCTCCGCTGACATATAAGCGGTGCGTGTAATGTGAGCTTGGTACCCTAGAGAAGCAGCAAAAGCTGCCTGAGCTTTGTTTGTACGTTCCACGATTGCTGGCGCCGCAAGTATGGTGCAGCCTGGCACTAGTCCCAGATCAGCCTAGCTCCCGTACTTGAGCTTATCCCGGCCACCGGCGCAGCTGCGACAGATCTCCCTAACGTCCAGCAATACAGTTAGAAGGTAGTACTCACAAAGGTCCTTTGTCGTCATAGGCTGTGGAATATCAACACATAACTTCAAAAAGGCTACAAGTCTGCAAATAACTGTCGTCAAGCTTCCTTCCGACATGTAACGGGAACCGTGAAGTTGCGTCTTCGCACGGTTGATCAGTCCTGCGTCCACTGGGACAATAACATACACGTGTGCCTCTTTGAATGCAATCAAAAAACAAGCTCGCAGTTCGCCGCGTCAACTGCAACGTGTCATGGTAGTGAAAGCGTTGACAAGTTCGAGGCTGTGACGTCGTGCCGTAGGAAGAGCTGACACGTCATATAAAGAAAAAAGGTGAACAGGTGCTCTGCTGCCTACAATAGTATAAAAGTTAGAGTTTACACACTCCTTACAGCAATGTAGACTTCTAGGGGGTAGATGTCTTGTCTTTTCCTTGTACAAGGGGCTGCACATGTGTGAGCGGGCCCGAACGTTTGCTGGAACGCTAGCTGCTTTCTGATTACCTAGGTAGCGTCAAGGCAGCCGTCGGCCCCGTTCATCGACGGTACCAGCGACCGTGGAACACACAAAGGACAGATGTACTGAGCTTGCATACCTGGCGTGTACATAAGAAGGGGTACCGCTTTACCCTCGCTCTGATTTCACATACATTCAACGATATGGCTGATTTACACCGTTACCGCTTTACGCCGGAGGGGGCACTCGAATGGAGCAAAGAACCTCGAATGTTATTACTTCAGTCAATCTACAAACAATATCATGACCCTAAGCGCCCCGTTTCCGAACAAATCGGCAGCCAAAATTTCATGAATGACCTTCGCGACAACTGTAACGTACGCCCGAAGGTAGAGCCGCCCTACTCTTGCACAGAGCGTTCAGCAGTCGAAGCATGGAGACAGCAATTCGAACGGCAGGTGAAGACACGTATATCCGGCTACCGCTGCACGGCGGCAAACACACAAGAAACTCTTCGCTGTGTGAAACTTGGTGTTCGGGACTATGTCCGTACAGAACATCGGATATTCCAGATTCCCGAGTTACTAGACGTCATACTCCAGTTCGCAGGACCTGCGGCGCAGATCCGCGCGTTGCGAGTATCAAAGCCCTGGCACAGAAGCGCAATGGCCGTTATCAGCAGTTGCAGTACCGCTGTCCCATTCCGGGCATCACCGCTTTGCATGCCGGCAGAGCACGGAAAGCTTGTCGATGAAGACGTCATGGCACCTCTTCCACCTACTTCTGAAGAGATGAAGAGATTCGAATTAGATGTCGAACGTACCTACGAGAGCTGGGGCAAATCGAAGGGCAGGAGGGCTTACTGCTTTCCCGCAAAGTGTGCTCAGAGGCGTGACCTCCCCAGTCACTTGTCCGACATCCTCAATCATGTGGACACTTCCCAGCCCAGCGAGGCCTTTCCTTGGAACCACAATGTACGTATATCTCGTGAAACAGATATATTTTGGTTGGACCTGAGCCAATTCGAGGTGAACCCATACCTTGAAGCACTCTTCGCGGAAGAACACTAGAGCAAACATCTACTTGGTAGATGGGAAATTTGCTTAAGGAAAGCGGCAAGCAGCCCGGAAACACTTCTACTCAATTCCTCCCTCGCAAGCAAAGCTTTGTTAGACGCTATTGGGTCTATGCATGTCACGCACCCACCCTGCCGAGCGTTGGGAATCTATCATCATGACTTTAGCAGAAATACGCCATGTGGCAGTAACGTACTGCTCGCTAGGGTCAGTAATGATCACGGTATACGCGTTGACGAGTTCATGGGCGCATTGCAGAACTCTTTGCCTGCTATTCGGGATACATGGCTCATGAACGCTGACCGGCTCGTTGAGGAGATACAACAAGCGCACTGGATTGATGACATCTGGACTATACCTGGTGCGCCCACAATCCGTGTCTACTTGGACAACGTCGATATGTTAGATGAACGTAATGTCATCAACCTGGTTCCATCCTCAGACGAGTTCCTGGCGTATCACCACGCGAGAGCCAGGGTTCTCGGTTTGTCAAGCCACATCACACGCGCTGCTCAAATGGACGCAGAGCCCTTTCGGAGATCAAGAGAGAAGGCATGGATATCAGAAGATCTTATTGAGCCTGCTGAAAGCACTACCGGTCGGCATCCCATCAACTGGCATCGGTGAAGAAGCTGATTGAGGCTGCATGGAAACCGACGAAGACTGCGAAAGCATGTTTGAGAGGCTCTTTCCCATGCGATACATCGCTTTTGCCGATGGCCATGTGCGTCACGAAGTACACTCATTCCTTCCAGATTTGGTAGAATAGTTATTAATTTTTGATCGTCTCTACAAATACACGCCCTGGTCTCTAATGTCGTCACAGAAGCCAATTGTGTTCCAGATGTGCAGTGAAATATGTTCGTGATACTGTGGCGCCTTACCGTTTACAAAGGTTTATTTAACCCACTCACACACCGTGAGGGCTGCACGCAAGTTTCGGTTGATAGATATCGGTCATCTACTGTAATGTGAAAAAAGTTGTCCTGAACCATGGTAGACAAGCGACACCCACTGTTCTGGCGAATGCGACACGCTCATAATGTAATTCCAAGAAGTGTATATGCTCAAGCCAACGCACCTGCGCTTGTTCAGACCATTCTAGCAATCGCAAAAAATCGATGCGACAACCGTGCACTACTTCACCTCGATTGCTCCATTTCGAGAAAGTGCGACCAGCGACAATTCTCACTCTCACCTTGTCACATACCACCCGCCTTGAAACCGAACTCAACCCCCCGCGACTCATAATACACTCGCGACTACCTCAGCTTTCTCAAACCCAAAATGACAGTCTTTTCAAGCAAAGAGATGTTCAACAGCCTGGGTCTCGAGCAGGTCCAACAGTCGCACGCGCATGCATCGCAAGACTGTACCATCTGCCGCCATCCTCTCGCCCTCCATCCTGCGAAGAGTAAACCCGCGGAGTCCAAGCTTCACCGTGCTGTACGAGTCGCCGCCTGCGGCCACATCATCGGTCAACAATGCCTAGACGCCTGGCTGGAGGTCGGTAACACATGTCCAACATGCAAGCGCCTACTCTTCGAACCTACTGGCGACCCTATCACACAGCAAGACATCAACAACATCTTGCGCACCTTGGGCCCGCAATACGGTGAAGATGCGATTATGGCCGTCGTGGCGCGACGCGTCGCCCGCCAGGAACACGAGCATGCGCGTATGAGACAGGCCCATGAGATTGAGCTGGAGAGGATGAAGGCCGAGGAAACGGAGGCTAGGAATGATGCGTTTACGCTGTCCAACGACGATCTCTTGGATAGCGATGAGGACATGGACTTCGAGGAGGACGCCGACAACGACGATGAGGACTTCGAGGCAGAGGATGATGGCTCAGACTCGAGCTAGCACGTTCTACTGAGTTGATGGAAAGAGAAGGTCAGCATGTGCGCGTAGCCAAGGCAGTCTTTGCGAAGCGATCGGAGGTTTATGTGTGATAGAGTGCCTCCGATGATATCTGGAATTACTTTGGGGAGAGCACGCACGTAGTGAATGGCTGTGATGTCTTGACCACAATGGTCTATCTATCCGAAGCTACTCAGTACCTTCGGGGCCTTCTAAGACGTTGGGACACAGCAAAGTACACTTTGATGTATTCGTCAAATGTAATCATCGTCGCTCAAGCTCTGTGCCGATCTTCGACCACTCACTTACTCTCCACCCTCAAGTTTGTCCACATCATACCCGTGACCGGCACCTTGGCGACCGCAAACCCGATGAGTACCTTGACCTGCAGGTTATACGCCTCACCAAACACCTGCCTCACACGCTCTAACATTTCCGGTGAAAGAGTCTGCACTAACTCCGTCTTTTCTAGCAGGCTCTCGGCAAGCTCCAAGGGTAAGATATCGGTTAGATGGGAGCGAATGTAGGGTGTGGAGATAGATGTAACGATGGCGATACCGACTAGACCGCCCAAGGTGCGGAACTGCGATGTAGCTGCTGAGCCAACGGCTGGTGGTCGTTAGTAAACGAAAACCTTGAACACATGCGTGTGTGAATGTTGTGAAAAACTTACCCAAATCCCTTTTATCCATCGCGTACGGCACAAGCAGGATGAGTCCCGAGTTGACAAGACCAGTTCCCGTTCCGGCAATGATCTGGAACGCATACTGACTAGCATCGATATGCGATGAAGTATCGATCTGCGACAGCAACGCAATACCGAGAATCTCCATCAGGGAGCCACCGAGGATGATCCAGCATGGCGGTATCCTGGGTTTGCCCATCATCGCACCTGCGATACCACTGCCAAAGGGCACGAAAGCTCCGTATGTGAGGAGCCGGGCGGCGGCGGCGAGAGGAGAGAGGCCGTCCACCGTGATAAAGCGTTGGGGGATTTGCGCAATGCATACGAACATTACTGTGCCGGAGAGATAGGTATTGCTGGATGTCTGTATCAGTATGATGCATGATGAGGATACAAAATTGTGGACTTACATGATCATGCCGAGCTGTATGCGGCTCTGACAGAAGCGCCACGGAAAGACGGGCTCAGGGTTGGTGCGACGCTGTGTTATGTACCATTGCCATGTGAAGAACGCGACGGCGAAAGGCGCGGAAACGACGAGTAGAGGAAGGACTTTGTTGGAAGACCATGCATAGTCCAGCGACGCTTGTTGGAGACCTGTAGCGAGTAACACGAGAGTGCCGAGCATCAACGTCGCTCCAAGGAAGTCAAGTCGACTGAGGGAATGCTTCGAGAAGATCGGGTGTGTCTGCTGCGCAGCTGGCTCGTTGAACAGCGTTCGCGGAAGTGTGAAGCAAAGTGATATAGCAGTAAGAACTCCGACAGGAACGCTATACCAATGTTAGTACGTTGACGAAGGTTCTTCAATGACGTGTGCATACTTCAAAAGGAAGATCCAACGCCAGCTACCATGCAGGGTGATGCCGCCACCAAGAAGCGGTCCCGTAATCAGACTGAGTGCGAGTACCATACTAACACCTGCCATGTACTTCGGCAACTTGCCTGGTGGCGCAATTTCCATAAACATGAGTTGAGTGAGTGCGTATACACCGCAACCGCCGATACCCTGACACCATCGGAACATGATGAGCTGAATGAGTGTCTGACTAGCTCCGCAAAGCGCCGAGAAGATGGTGAAGATGAGCAGCGAAGCGATGAGGGTGTATTTCCGTCCTGCAGTGTCTGAGAGCTTTGCCCAGATCATCTGGAGACCTTGGACAGGATTAGCGAAGTGGTCGGTCTGTGGGGGTAAGAAAGTGCTTACTGCAGTAGGTCAACATATATGCCGTGAAAAGCCATGAGCTCTTCTCATAGCCACCCAGTTCGTCGGTGATGTCCACAATGGCAGTGCTGATGACGGTCGATTCGAGAGTAACGAGGAAGATCGAGATCGTAAGACCGGCATTGATCAGGTAGAGCTTCAGGCCTGTGATGTACTTCGATTCATCAGTCGCTACCACCTGCTCAGCTTCATTGGGGGCGGAAGTATTTGTCGACGCCTTCTCGACACTCGAGTTATCCAGTACGGCATCGTCCTTCGGAGTAGAAGACATGGTCCTGCCTTGAGTGAAAGAGAGCGGGAGAGAAGTGTGGGAGTGAGAGCGCAAGAGATTTCGTGAAGGGTCCAGAGAGGCAGGCGCGTTGTTGTCGCTGCTGTTGCTGTTGCTGGGTGACCAAGGAAAGTGCGAACCACAAAGTCAGGTACGACTTGCATAGCTTGTATGGAAATGTGTGAGGTGAAAAGGATAATGGGATTATAAGAGTGCTTCAACAAGGGGCTGGCAACTGTGCCACGTATTGTATGCAAGCATGGCGTTTCCCTTGCTCTTTCGATAAGACCGTGCCATTCACTGGTCGTGAAAATGCGGTTCTCCATCTGCGTACGGCGAAGAGTACTATTCGAGTATTGACAGCCCGACGATGTAACAAGTTATGCCTTCCATTTGCCGTGCCATGGCGCGAGTCTATAGTAAGTAAGCTGATTATACCGGGAACACGGTATCACATAACGCCGCAATCAAACGGGTTTTTGGTTTCGGCCCCATGCATAAGCGAGCAGGATCAAAATCCCCATATGTGAGGCTGTTCTCGGTATGTCCGAATTGGTGCAGATAGTAAGTACGTTAGCTCTTAGTTAAGCTGTGGGTTGCCCTGTCCTTCCCGGTAGGATCATTGTTGTGGGGGCGGGGCTGTGCGACCATTGGGGCTGGTGTTAGCGCAGGCGCGAGCCGCCCGTTGGATGTTGAACCTGGAGCCGTATTTATCCCGTACCGAGTGCTTGGGCATAACTCATCCATGGTCCAATAGAAAACGCTCGCATGCGAAAATCCTCTCGTTTTATCGACTGTGCCGGAGTGCTGCATTCTTTATCTGTCGCGTGGTGCCATAATGCGACCGGAGAGGTTGTCCAGTGCGAATGGCCCATATGCGTAGCGAACATTAGAGCGCGAGATTGGAGTTGACTTGGCGAAGGACCTTATTCTCCCTACAACTGATGATAGCAAATCAACCTGGGAAAAAATTGGATAGGTCTGCACATCATCATGGAAACATGCAAAGTGGGTGACCTAACGTCGATGTAGGCCCCAGGCCTGTCCGGTGTATGAGGTGGCCCCCAAGATGAGCCCCGTCAATAGGCGCCCGAGCTACAAAATGAGTATAACTTGGTCGTCGTCAAGGTCGGCGACTTGAAGTTGAACGAACGCTGGAAGACTGCAAACCCCACAACCCATTATGCCGCGATGAGACCTAATCTTGAAGAATGACTATCATAGCCACATCCGCTTACGTGCAGTTTGACATTATACTCAAAACATACATCGCGCTTATAACCTCGCCAAAAGCAAGACGACGGGACGTCTTAAACCATCGTTGGCTTGGGGCCATGTGCGTATGGGTGTATTGAAATGTGGCGTTAAGGGCTACCGCACTGTCAAACCCCGCCCCGCTGATATAGCACTAGTTCGCCCAATATGCTCGGATGATTGTTGATGGCGATGGCCTTTCTCAGTTGGGATGGTATGGCATCGGGAGTATGTCTAAAGTAGCGGGTTGGGGCTGCGTTGAAGACATAAAAAGAAGTCGAAGGAGTGAGTGGTGGTCAGATGGAAGGCACGCCCGACACGTCGCGACAGATTGT